ATGGACAACAAATCTACTGTTCTAGGTGCTAGGGATATAGCAGTGAACGAGGGACAAAATCTGCGACCTCACAGAGCTTTCCTTTCAGAGGGGCAAGACAGGCAATTGCAAAATAAACAAGCAAGCTGGTGCGACACGTTAGCTGGTGCTCCGAAGACATAAAACAGGGGAAGGAGACAGGGAGTGCTTGCACAGGGTGGTGCTATTTTAAATAGAGTGGTCTGGGAATAAGGCCTGAGGAGATGACATTTGCGCAAAGACTTTAAGGAAGTGAGGGAACGCAGTATGCAGATATCTGAAGGAAACCGGTCAAGGTTGGGGAGAACCCACAGATGTGGTGGGCATCGTGGGCAAATGCTCTGGCTGCCCCCATTCCCTCTGTGAGGCACGACGCCAGGTCGGAGCTGAGAGAGAGCATGGAGGAGAAGAGGGGCCAGGGTGGGAAACAGTCACAGAGGGGGCGAGTGGCCATGACTGCAGCGCTCAGGGGACACGACTGGTAGGCACGAGGACCCGAGGGCGATGCAGGCATCATGCTGGGGGTGGGGCGGGGGTAGGGAATGCTAGACTGGGATGCCCTGGGCCCAGCAACCTTGCACTGGCTCACAGACCATCCCCGGGCGTGAACGCCTGCTTATGCTCATCTGAGCCTAGCACCCAATCCACTGTACATACAAGCACAAGATATTTTGTACATTTGATGCAACGCCTGCGCTGGGCGGGTTTCGGAATTCAGACCTTTCCAGATCGCAGGACAGATTCTAGCATCCGGGGGGATGAAGGCCCTGCTTGGGCCGGCTCTCTCGCAGAGACCTTGCCCACCATGTGGTGCAAGGTAGGCGGGACGCGTGCGCGCTGAGGGGAAGACGCTGCAGAGGGATCCGCGCGGAGGAGTTTCGAGAGGAGCAAAGCGACGGAGGGAGAAAAGGCGGCGCAAGCGCAGTGGGTGTTGAGGGGGAAGACTGACGGCTGAGAGAGCTCCGGCGTGGCCAGCGCGCACGGCCGACTCAAGCGCGGGCGCACAGGGTATTAGGGAGCCAGGGGGCGCCGCGACTGGGCGACCACTTGGGTCCGAGGCCGGGCGGGCGGCCCTTGTTTATCCTCCATCCTGCCCTTTCCGCAGCTCTGAGGCTGAAAAGCCACGCTCGCCGTACTCGACTGAGCTCGGGGCTCGCCTCTGTAGATGGGAAAGGAGCTACGGCTGAGGTCCTTCCAGCCAGCCTCCTCCATGTCCCCTGCAGTCTCAGCATGCGACTCTAATCCCTGCACTCCCGAGTCCTCACCCGAAATCCCGGCCCTCCCCCTCCGCCTCTGGCCTGAATCTTTGCCGGCCCCTGCCTCGCTCCTCCTCGGACCCCCCCGCCACCCTTTGCGTACCCCTCAGCCCGGCCTCCTTTTACCCGACCTGGAGACCCTGCCCGCCACCAGGACCTATGAGGCCTCCGGGCGCTCTCGGAGGACCGAAGCCTTGATTCTGCGCAGACACCCTCTTGCCGCCCCGCCCCCCCCCCTCCAGGTGTTTCCATCTTTCCGGAGAGGAGGGACAGAATTAGGAGGGACCGAAAGGAAGACCCACCAGTCTCTGGAGCGCTCTCATCTGTCCGTCCTGGGCAGAGCCGTTGACTTGGCGGAATGCGGAGAGAACCGGTCACGGGTTGCAGCCAGGGATCCTGGTCAGGGAGCTTGGCGATGAGGAGCCACAGTGTCCACTAGGCCGGATTAATCTTTTATAACTCAGGGCTTCTCAGGCCCTGCATGGAATCCAGGAGTTGGACAAAGGCCAACTGAAACCAGACTTCCCAAATACGCTATTTGTCGTCACAGAAACACAGAGCTGAAAGTAACCTTTAGAAGTCATCTGAGCAAAGACTGTGATAGTGCAGGTACTAGTATCTCCACTGCTCATGCTTGATTTTTACTTGATTTTTGCTGCTCTGATCTTAAAGTAATTGCTAGAAGCATCATGCGTTTTAAAGGAAAAACACAACAAATAAAATATTAGCACTTATGAATGAGTATTTTATTGCACGCTTTCTCTGCATCTATGGAGGTGATCATTTGGGTGTTTTCTTTTCATCTGTTTGAGATCCACTTACACCAATAGACTTTCTAGTGGTAATCCATCCTTGAATTCTTGGGGTAAACACAATTTGCTCACGATAGTTATTGTTGCCACTAATACATTATTGGTTGCAACTGCTAATATTTTGTTTTTATTTATTTATTTTTTTGTCCTTTTTGTGACCGGCCACACCGCGCTCAGCCAGTGAGCGCATCCCACCGGCCATCCCTATATAGGATCCGAACCCGCGGCGGGAGCGCTGCTGCACTCCCAGCACCGCACTCTCCCGAGTGCGCCACGGGCTCGGCCCTTTGTTTTTATTTTTAAAAGTTTTCTTTCTTTCTTTTTTTGGCAGCTGGCTGGTACTGGGATCTGAACCCTTGACCTTAGAGTTATTAGCAGCATGCTCTAACAAAGTGAGCTAACCAGCCAGCCCTGAACTGCCCAAGTTCTGAAGCGACTATTCTAACTCAAACCAGAGAAGTGACACCAAGGGAAGAAGGAAAGCCAGCCATGAGGTGCAGCTCTGAGCCAGGCTCTCGCCTGCTGTGAGAGGACCATGTGCTGCAAGAGAGAAGAACTGGGGAGTTTCAGTCCTGCCTCTGCCTCTTACAGCTCTATGACCTTGTGCAAGGGAGTCACTAAACCTCAGTTTCTTCCTCTGAGAAAGGCTGTTGTTAGGATCAGGGCTGTTGATGTTGATGAGAACACCTAAGACGACAGCAGAATGAACACTTAGAGGAAAGAATCTCAATTAGTGGACATCAACTGTGGCAGCAGCTGAGGTGGAGAATGGAAGAGCCATTTGGGGCAAGGGACCTTCTAACAACCCCAGTAACCACAAGACACTGTACGTAATCTGAGGAAGAAAAGCAAGAAGGACATGGCACGTGCTCAGCACCGACTGTGTGCTTCTCTGTCTGTTCCCGGTTACCCACCCCACAACAAAATCCTCTCAGAGGACAGGAACCAGCAGCCCTCTGAACCAGGCAGGAATAGGACCACAAGGAAAGAACCCAGAGGCTGCCTGGATCATAGATGAGTCCCTTGCAAATGAGGCATGAATTCTTCCAGGTCATTTAAAAGCCAACAGATTTGACAAAGTCCGGCAGAGTCCTTTGGATGATAACATGGTTCTAGTATCATCAGAAACATTTTGCCACAGACAATGCCTTTTCCTGCTCCTCAGTGCAGAGTTACAGTCTGGCATTGTGGGAAGAGCAGAGTAGCCCATGGGATGGGGCCAGCACGATGGCCCTGCCGCTGTGGGACCTGGGCAAGTCAATTGAGTTCTCTGAAACTCGGTATCCTCTTCTGTAAAAACAAGACAAATGTATCCACCTCCCAAATCTGCTGCAAGGATGAGAAGAGACTTTTGGCATGAAAGCCTCAACTGCTAATATTTCACTTAGATAGATTTATTATTTTTTCAAAACAACCATTGCTTCTTTTCCCCTTAAAAAATCAGCCAGCCCATGGTTCACTTGGGAGAGTGTGATGCTGATAACACCAAGGCCGCGGGTTCGGATCCCTATATAGAGATGGCTGGTTAGCTCACTTGGGAGAGCGTGGTGCTGACAACACCCAGTCAAGGGTTAAGATCCCCTTACCGGTCATCTTTAAAAAAAAAAAAATCAGTGACAAATGATGTGCTAATAAATGGTGCTAGGATAATTGGTTATACGGGGAAAATGAAATTGGATCTCTGTGTCACCCCATACACAAAAATCATTCCAGGTGCACACAAACCTAATGCAAAAAGCAAGCTCTAAACATTTTAGAAGAAAGTGTGGAATACCTTTATAACCTCAGGATAAATAAGGATAAACCAAACAGGTTTTTTCTTTATTTTTTTGGTGGCTGGCTGGTAAGGGGATCTGAACCCTTGACCTTGGTGTTACCAGCACCACACTCTCCCAAGTGACCTAACCAGCCAGCCTCAAACAGGCTTCTTATGAGGATTTAACCTCATTAAAGTTAAAAATCTGTGTCAAGGGCCGACCCGTGGTGCACTCAGGAGAGTGCGGC